CGACACGTTCAACGCTTGCGCGACGCCTTCGATGCCGCCAAGCTCCGCGAGGGCACCCGCCGCATGCTCCTTGGGGGTTTCCACGAGACGCACCAAGTCCTTGATGTGGAGGGACATCACTTGTGCTTTTCCGTGCTATTGTACGATTGGCTTTTCCACGAAGTCGTGTGTGTTGCACAAGTCACATTCAGTCAAAAAGGGTTCTTTAGATTCGGTACTACAGTATCCGGATGGACATAACCTGGCCACGATTTGTGATTGGTTGTTCTGTTCTGATTGGACGCTGATTGGCTAAAATATTCCTCGTAGTACAGCTGTATTTCGCCTTTTTTATGTCATTTCTACGGAGTATTTGTGAGCCAATCAAATGTAGTGCGAAGTAAATTTGGACGAAATTCACAATATTGCTTGAACATTTTTTAGGTCTGTATGTCAACCATGTTCAACTTGTCCTTTTCATGCAAATTTGGACTACCAGTACAGTAGTTGAATTCGGGTAGTGCGATTGGTCACATTGATCATATTTGGGTCGATATGATTGGCGTTTCATCTCCATTTCCAGACTGCAACTGGCCGGCAACCGTCCAACTTTTGAAATATCCTGCTTGTACTTTCCTGGTCAAAACGCAAGATTCAACCCAATCGTGGATCTTGAATGTTGTATACTGATGGGACTACTCGAATCGAATTTGCACTAATTCAGGATAAAATGGACCGAATCCTTGAAACTCTGTAACACACACACCGGCGTTTCCAAAATGCTTGAGATAACAACCAGCTGGCAATAGACAAATATTCACAAAAATTCGTAATGGCCGAGTTGCCAGTCAGAATGGCACACAACCAGAGGTGGCACTGGTACAGATATCTGTATCAAATAGTCCAGCCTCGAGAAACTGGCATACAATTAAATAGTAAATAGTACACGTACGTATAGGGTCCATCCAACGCCTCTTACAAAGTCCATCCTCGTTCTAGTACTGTAGTAGTACACTAAGTATGAATACTGTAGCGTTAACATTGGAACTTCTTCACAGCACTAGCTGCAAAGGTCTGTGATTTCAAGGCTGGATAAAACATAGCGTATGGAACGCGCATTCGCATGTCTCAGTTTTACCAATCACATAAACTTGCCCATTTTCATATTTCGACACTGAAGCAATGCCGCTCCACATCAAGGACTTGGTGCGTCTCGTGGAAACCCCCAAGGAGCATGCGGCGGGTGCCCTCGCGGAGCTTGGCGGCATCGAAGGCGTCGCGCAAGCGTTGAACGTGTCGCTGGAGCATGGTCTGGACAGCGACAACACGGCCGACTTGGCCGCGCGTGAAAAGACGTTTGGCAAGAACTACATTGAGCCCGAGAAGCCCCAGACGATCTTTCAACTCATGTGGCACGCGTTCCAAGACTTGACCATCATCATCTTGACCGTGGCCGGTTTCATTTCGCTGGTTCTGGGGTTCATTCCGTTCCCCGAGTCGACCAAGAAAGTCAAGACACGGGAATTGAGCGCTGGTGGATCGAGCACGGCGTGGATCGAGGGCGCGTCCATCATCTTCGCCGTGCTGATCGTGGTGTTTGTGACGGCCATCAACGACTACCAAAAGGAAAAGCAGTTCCGCGCGCTGAACGCCATCAAGGAAGACGAGAAGATCAAAGTCATTCGCAACGGCGTGCCTGCGGAAGTGAGCAAGTTCGACTTGGTCGTGGGGGATATTGTCCGTGTGGACCTCGGCGACATCATCCCTGCGGACGGCTTGGTGTTTGACGAAAGCGACTTGAAGCTGGACGAAAGTGCCATGACGGGCGAGTCGTTGCTGCTCAAGAAGGATCGCAAGGAAAAGCCGTTCCTGCTGTCTGGCACCAAGGTCATGGAAGGCGTGGGCAAGATGCTCGTCATTTGCGTGGGGGAAAACTCCCAGGCCGGTATCATCTCCAAACTCATCATGGGCAAGGGCAAGCGCCCCGCTGCTGATGCAACTGCCGCCGTGGAAGACAACTACGCGGCCGTGGCCACCCCCAAAGACGCGCCAGATCTGGACGAAGAAGCCGAAGAAGAAGAAGCGGTGTCGCCCCTGCAAGGCAAGCTGGACAGCCTCACGTTGCTCATTGGCAAGCTCGGGCTGTGGACGTCCATCTTTGTGGTCGTGGCGCTGGTCGTTCGGTTCTCCATCGTCACATTCGGCGTCGACGAGGAAGAGTGGAGCAACGAGTACTTCAAAGACTACCTCAACCACTTCATCCTCGGTGTGACGGTGCTTGTGGTGGCCATCCCGGAAGGCCTGCCTCTGGCCGTGACCATTGCGTTGGCGTACTCGGTGACCAAGATGCTCAAGGACAGCAACTTGGTGCGCCACTTGGACGCGTGCGAGACCATGGGAAGTGCCACCACCATCTGCTCCGACAAGACCGGCACCCTCACCACCAACCGCATGACGGTCATGGAGTGCTACCTCGGCAAGGTGGAATTCAGCTCCGCGCCGTCGCTCCGACTCCAAGCCAGCGCCGCCACCAAGGACATTCTCTGCAGCTCCATCAGCATCAACTCGACGGCCGAGATTCTGCCGCCCAAACAAGTGGGGGCGCAACCCGAACACACGGGCAACAAGACCGAGTGTGCGTTGCTCCAATTTGCCGCCGACTTGGGCGCCGAATACGCGGCCCTCCG